ACTCTTTCTTTTCGAAAAATGAATATAAATATAAATCTTTATTCGTGGCAGAATATCGTACAATTATTTGAAACGATTTACAGTAATTATTTGCATTAAAGTGGATTGCCTTTTCATTACTAACATCCTTGACAAAGTCAGTGCAATATCAATGTGGTTGTACTATCTTGTTACTTATTGCTTATAGAAACGAAATGATAACAATGCTTGCAATTCTGCGTGTAACTACTGCTTCTATGAAAATTCAATGCGAGTAAAAATGTTTGTATTTTGAAAAAAGCATCCGGATCCATTTTCACGTGATCTTCCATTAGCCTTAAAAAGAATTGACACGACTTACTCTTGTTCGACGAAATTATTGATTCCACAAAATTGAAAGTAATGTAAATTATTATCCGTAGAAAATATTCAGTGAAATTAAACGTTAGAAGAAGTTGACAAAGTTTATTTTTAGTTACTTCTGTTCGATGCAATTGTTCATTTAGGATGAGTTTGGAAAGTTTGACTATCATTTTCATGACCCACTACACAGAATTATTATATACACGTTAGATACTATATAAAGTATATATATGAAAAAATAAATATATGAAAAACTTTATGTGTCATATAATTGTTGCACGAAATAGTTTTCTATATTTAAACAAATTTAAATTTGCTTCAATGTCACAAGATGAATGACACTTTATGTTCAGAAAGGTATTGAAATGGTTCGATAAAAAATTAAGCTTTTATCGTACAACTGTAGTTTGTAATTTCTATAAATGTATCACATGTAGGACCATATTTGATACTAAACATGTTCAATAACGAATACACTCGATAAACATCAATGACAGAGATTATTGGTCAACAAAGGAATAAGCGAACCAAATTTCTATATCTTGTTGACACCGAACAGTGTATATATTACATACGGAAATTAATATGTTTATTCTTCTCGAAACATTGATTCTTTGATGGTATATCGTTTGAATTTGTCGATTGAAATTCTTATGGAGACTTACACATATAAAACTTGTATAAAAGATGATTAAAAAAGGTGCTAAAAATTTTAAGAGTAGAAAGTGCTGCTATTAAAAGGTCAGACGACAAACAAGGACATTAAACATCATCAGACTCTTTAATTAAGGAAATAAGATTTTTCGAAAGTATTTAATTACCAGATTTTATCTTAAGGACAAGAAGAAAATTGAAAATATGTTTAAAACGATGTAAAATTTATTTATAAAATCTCCACTTTGTTATATAAATTAAATAAATTACATTAATAAATTTTAATTAATATTAACTTACATTGCAACTTATATGTAATTAACATATTTTATTTTACTAATTACTATCTTTTCTGGTAATTCATAAGTAATATAAATATGTTGACATATTTTGATTTATTAAAATAATAAATAGGTGGATCCCTATCTTCCTTCAACATATGTGCAAATTACACTGCCTCACATTTTTCATCCTATATATTGAATGCCAGATAATAATTGTTTATTGGAGAAAATGGATTCTATTAAACACATATAACAATATTAAAAAGTTAATATCATATTACTTTTATTCAGTAGCTTCTAAAGTCAGGAAATCAAGGTTTTGTACGAAATGAAAGATCGTTCGTAATACTAAAAATATTTATTTTTCGACACATTTTTGTTACGATATCATTTCTCCACTTAAACATGTACGATTGAAATTCTGAACTCTTCCCTTTGTTCAGTTTAATTCTGTATAAATTCAATTTCTCTTTTAATTCTCTATTACCTAATTTATATTAAAACTTGCTTAATGTTTTTCCAATATTTGAAAATTTCGAAAGTGTGTTCGG